CTGGAGGGGTTGTGGGAGGTGGGATGGGCTAAATGGGTAAGGGGCATTAAGGAATCTACTCCTGAAATCATTGTTTCACTATATGCTAACTAATTTGGATGTATATTTTAAAAAATAAAAAATAAAAGTAAAAGAAAAAGTAAAGATCAGGGTGAGTAAATTTCATTCTTGAAGAGCAGTATTTATCTATAATCATTACTATTTACAATTAACTTTTTTTTAAATATTTATTTATTTTGAGAGAGAGAGAGAGAGCAATTAGTAGGGAAGGGTCAGAGAGAGAGGGAGAGAGAGAGAGAATACCAAGCAGACTTCATGCTGTCAACACAGAGCCATACGTGGGGTTCGTTATCACCAACTGTGAGATCATGACTTGAGCTGAAACCAAAAGTCAGGTGCTGAACCAACTAAGTCACCCAGGCGTCCCTACAATGAACTTTTGCATCAGGGTGTTTATCGAATTATAGGGGTAATGGTGACTAGGTAGTCAGGTATTTCTCATACTGAGCATGAGTGTGAACTCCTTAGAGATGTTTCAAGTTTTGCACTCTGTTTCCTCCTCTCTGCCTGCAGGGTGGAGTCCCACCGCAGCCGCGAGCCGCGCACACGTGTGCAGTTCTTGGAAATAAGGGCTATATCTTTGGCGGACGTGTTTTGGTTAGTGTTTTTCATGAAAATGATATTTTTATGTGTGCTTCTGCTCACAAAGATTATTTTCTGATTTGGGGGAACAACTGAACATTCAAAGTATCTAGGTAAATAAAATACCATTCAATAATAAATTTTATTTATCTTCCATCCCCTAAACAGACTATACATGAGTAATCACACATGATTTATAAATCATATTTTAATGAGGAGAATCCTTCACTTCTGTGCATAACCAGAAAAGCTTAATGTCTTAACATTTAAATCCTATTAGTTTAAGGCCTTTTCTTCCTTTCTCCCTTGACACATTAATTGGGTAGCTCTATAGTAATTTGATTAATGCTTAGCATTGTTTCTTCATATGTAAACTTCTGATGCTAATAAGTAAAAATAAGTAAAAATAAGTAAGATGGAGATAGTCTATCTTTAACCTGAAGTAATTTTAAAACCAAAATTTTAGTCCATGAAAAATGTGAAACAGGGACTAATTTAACACACTTTTATTTTAGCAAACTAGGATGAATGATTTGCACTGTCTGAACTTAGATACCTGGACTTGGTCTGGAAGGTACGTTTGAAATTTAAGTATGTTTTAATCGAAAGGTATTTGTGTGTGTGTGTGTGTGTGTGTGTGTGTGTGTGTGTGTGTGTGTGTTTGGGATCATAATCCAAATTTGAGTTTCTAAAACTGAATTCGTATCTTTTTCCTTCAGATTATATGTCTAAGCAAGGAATATACAGATTTAAATGCAGAGTTTGTTCTTAACCAAATTATATAAAACATGAGAATACCAGAGGTTGAAACTTGATTATGTAAAAGTACTGGTTTTATTCTAAGTATTCTTGAGAACTGGCCAGTAGAGGAAACGAAGGAACAGTTTGTTGGTGTCATCACAAGTAAACAGATAATGAAGTATGTAAAAGATTTTTTTTTTGTGGTTCAAAATATATATTTAACAATAGAATAAATATATTTAGGTATCACTTCAGCTGTTCATGCAATGATATGGAATCAGAGCCATATATTATTCCAAAATAGAAATACCATTAAAAATGAAACTCCAAAAGTGCCAGGAAAAAAATATAGCAGATTGTCTTTAAAATCTTGGCATGGAGCAATCCCTATCAAAAGAACACCAACATTTTTCACGGAGCTAGAGCAAACAATCCTAAAATTTGTATGGAAGCACAAAGACCCCAAATAGCCAAAGCAATCCTGAAAAAGAAAACCAAAGCTGGAGGCATCACAATTCTGGATTCAAGCTGTTTTATAAAGCTGTAATCATCAAGACAGTATGGTACAGACACAAAAACAGACACCCAGATCAATGGAACAGAATAGAAAACCCAGAAGTGGACCCACAAACATATGGCCAACTATTCTTTAAAGCAGTAAGGAATATCCAATGGAAAAAAGACAGTGTCTTCAGCAAATGGTGGTGGGACAGCGACCTGCAGAAGAATGAACCTGGACCACTTTCTTACACCATACACAAAAATAAACTCAAAATGGACGGAAGACCTAAACATAAGACAGGAAGCCATCAAAATCCTCGAGGGGAAAGCAGGCAAAAACCTCTTTGACCTTGGCCTCAGCAACTTCTTACTTGACCTGTCTCCAGAGACAAGGGAAACAAAAGCAAACATGAACTATTAGGACCTCATCAAGATAAAAACCTTCTGCACAGAGAAGGAAATAATCAGCAAAACTAAAAGGCAACCAACAGAATGGGAGAAGATATTTGCAAATGACATATCAGCTAAAGGGTTAGTATCCAAAATCTATAAAGAACTTACCAAACTCAACACCCCAAAAACAAATAATCCAGTGAAGAAATGGGCAAAAGACATGAGTAGACACTTTTCTAAAGAAGATACCCAGATGGCTAACAGACATATGAAAAAATGCTCAACATCACTCATCATCAGGGAAATACAAATCAAAACCACAATGAGATACCACCTCATACCTGTCAGAATGGCTAAAATGAACAATTCAGGCAACAACAGATGTTGGCGAGGATGCGGAGAAAGAAGAACCCTTTTGCACTGCTGGTGGGAATGCAAACAGGTGCAGCCACCCTGGAAAATAGTATGGAGGTTTCTCAAAAAACTAAAAATAGAACTACCCTATGACCCAGAAATTGCACTACTAGGTATTTGTCCAAAGGATACAGAAGTGCTGTTTCAAAGGGGTACATGCACCCCAATGTTTATAGCAGTGCTATCGATAATAGCCAAAGTATGGAAAGAACCCAAATGTCCATCGACAGATGAATGGATAAAGAAGATATGGTACATATATACAATGGAGTATTACATGGCGATCAAAAAGAATGAAATCTTGCCATTTGCAACAACGTGTATGGAACTAGAGTGTATTATGCTAAGGGAAATAAGTCAGAGAAAGACAAATATCATATGGCTTCACTCATATGTGGAATTTAAGATACAAAACAGATGAACATAAGGAAAGGGAAGCAAAAATAATATAAAAACTGGGAAGGAGACACACCATAAGATACTCCTAAATACAGAGAAGAAACCGAGGGTTGCTGAAGGAGGGGTGTTGGGTGGGGTGATGGCCTACATGGGCAATGGGTATTAAGCAGGGCACTTGTTGCTATGAGCCCTGGGTGTTATATGTAAGTGATAAATCACTAAATTCTGTTCTTGAAATCATTATTACCCTATATGTTAACTAGTTCGGATGTAAATTAAGAAAATAATAATAATAATTTAAAAATCTTGGCATGGAGAAAGTTTTCCTAAAAATGGTTATAAACCCAAAATTATTAAATAAAAAGACTGACTTATAAGATCACTTAAGAATTCAATTTTTCTGGGGGCCCCTGGGTGGCTCAGTTGGTTAAGGATCTGACTATAGGTTTCAGCTTAGGTCATAATCTCACAGGTTTGTGAGTTTGAGCTCCGCATAGGGCTCTGCACTAGCAGCTCAGAGCCTGCTTGGGATTTTCACTCTCCCTCTTTCTGCTCTCTCTCTCTCTATCAAAATAAATAAATGAATATTTTTAAAAATATTCTGTATGTAGTTTTCTGTATAGAAAACTATACCCAAGCTAAAAGAGAAATTGGAAAATACAAACAAAAAACAAACTGGAAGTCATATTGCAGTATTTTTAACAGGGCCTAAATCCACAAGAACTCAGAAAATCAGTAACAAAAGGACAAATAATCCAGCAGAAAAATGGACAAAGAACATAAATGAACAACTCACAGAAGAAATACAAATGGGCAAAAATTATTTTAAAGAGACGTTCAACTTCAGAGACAAAGAAATGGAGCTAAAAATAATTACAAATGCCCAATGTGTGCTGAAGTTGTAACAACATAATTAGTGAGAGCATAAATTGGTACAGTTTTTCTGGAAGGTAGTTTGGCAATATATTTAAAATGTAAAATGGAATTTCTGCTTTGATTCAGAGTTTCCCCAAAGACAGTAAGTGTGTGTGTGTTACAACATTATTATAAAAGCAAAAACTAGAGGTCAACCTTCATGTTCACATTTGGGGATTATTTAAATCATGGTACATTTGTCCAGTGGGCCATCATGCTTCCTTTACCAAAGAAAGTTACACTTCATAGAAATATTCTACAACATAGAACAAGCAATCCTAAAATTCATATGGAACCACAAAAGGCCCCGAATAGCCAAAGTAATTTTGAAGAAGAAGACCAAAGCAGGAGGCATCACAATCCCAGACTTTAGCCTCTACTACAAAGCTGTCATCATCAAGACAGCATGGTATTGGCAGAAAAACAGACACATAGACCAATGGAATAGAATAGAAACCCCAGAACTAGACCCACAAACGTATGGCCAACTCATCTTTGACAAAGCAGGAAAGAACATCCAATGGAAAAAAGACAGTCTCTTTAACAAATGGTGCTGGGAGAACTGGACAGCAACATGCAGAAGGTTGAAACTAGACCACTTTCTCACACCATTCACAAAAATAAACTCAAAATGGATAAAGGACCTGAATGTGAGACAGGAAACCATCAAAACC